TACCTTTTTGTTAAAAATAAGGTAATATTCAGTAGTTTTTATATAATATAATATTATCAATTGATATCTTAAAGAGATAGTTCTAAGGAAAAAAACAATTTTTTCTGATGAGAAATATAATATAATACCTAAGGAATAAAGAAAATAAAAAAAAATTGTTTTGCATATTTTTTTCTTTATTTTGTTAGAATGGACAGCAGACAATATGGCGATTTTAGAATGCTTTTATACTTATAAGTATACTTATTGGTTATATAATCCATATAAATTAACCTGCAAGTGTATTTAAACCATTTGGTTATTTTATGGGGTTTAAAACTGAACTGAACTGAAAAACTATCACTTTTTTAACCAGTTTATTAATTAACGTTAATTAACCAGCGAGTTCAAATATAATTGGTTAAAAAAATATATCCAAATTAACAAAAGCTGTGGTTAAATTACCAAAAAGTAATATCAAAAGTTAAACTAAACCAAAAGATGTCTAAAAAATAAGTAGTCTTAACGATTTTCAGAGGTTAAAATTAGAAGTTAATATAACGTTATATAACTTCTAAACTAACTTACTTTTTAACTTATAAGTAATATTACTAACTAGTTCAATATTTGGTTTATTTTCAGTCAATTTAAACTCTTTACATTAATTTAGGTATAGTTATAGTTAAATTTTACTAAAAAATAACCTTAAGGTTATAAAAACCTGTTGGTAAATTGAAAGGGTTATTTTTTAGTTCATAGTAACATTAAAAAAACGTTAATGGTTAAATACAACTAATTGGTTAAAAACAAGTTAAAAAAACGTTATTTTACTTACATTTTGGTTAATTTACTTAGAATGATGGTTGTGCTATTTGGGATACTTGGTGCACCTTGTATTTTCTATTTTAATGGCTAATTTATTAATTTACTTAACACTGGAAGATAATTTACACTACTATAGTATACTTTTTAAATTACTGCTACATGAAATTATGATATTTAATTATTGTGTCTAATTAAGTTTAAGGGCAAAATGACAGCTAATTACACTGTAATTTAAATGATTTACACATGGCTGAAAATCTCTCGGTGCGCGAGGTGGGAAGAAATATCATCCTTTTGAAAAAATGTCTTATTTCGAGTAAATGTTTAGGAAGCAGGAAAGCTGTAATAACATTACCTAAGTAATTTAAAATGTTTACATTTTTCACTCTTAAATTTCGCCCACTCAATTTTACCGTATTCCTGATGGTTAATCTTCATGGATAAATTAATGGTTAAGTGCTTTAATGAAATCTTGCCATGGCTTACAGATATTATTGATTTATAGCCACAAACACCGAAACCCTTTTACAACATATAAATCTTTTAGTAGCTATCCAGAATTTCAGAATTTAAATTGTAATTGTGAGGTTTGCGACGAGGTTTGTCTACTTTAAAAAGTTAAATACACAAACATTTTTGCTGCTTAATTAGAGGCATGGAAACAAGCAAAAGTTAAGTGCGAGATACTGTGTAAGGCATTTTAATTTGATAAACGTGTTGGCATGAATGAGTGGAATTGAGTCAGTCCCAAGATTTTCCAGAGATAATTCCCCATTCATTTTGCCAGTTGTATAGTGTAAATTGCAACTGCGGTCGTTTACCAGACCATTTGAATGGCTGGGGAAAGGGGAAAACGTTCTTTTCACTTCTTCACTCCACAGATTACGAAACACTGATCTATGACTTCCACGACTCATTCATCAAACATTTAATCCGCCCAAATTCAAATAAAATGGATATAAATGTCTATTAATTAGTTAATGCGAAATGTATTAAAACCAAGCCCATCTTAAATAGTCAGAAATATTCATTTATCTCCTTTAATGCTAATGAAAAGTTTATTCCACTGTATAAATCAACGTTTACCTTTAGAGAACTCACCAATTTAATTAATTAAGTTATTGCATTTTGTTTAATTACATACTGTAGAACGTCATGCACTGTATCTATTAACGGTCGAAAATCTGCGAATGACAACATGTCTCTCTTAGGTCAAACTCCCATTCATATAAACATGTATGTCAAATTCGAAATTGGTTACTGTGTTTGTTGTAACAGCAAATTCAGCAACCGAATAAAATAGCTGACTGAGCTGAAATGAACTGAACGTTTTCAATTTCTAATAGTGCCCATTTTTCATTAAGTTCGCTAAATACTATTTTTCTGTTGATCATCATAATTTTGCAAGTGCAGTCAAAAATGTTTTTAGTATTAGGTATTTTCCGTGTGACGGTGTTAAGCAGTGACGTCACTTCTGTCGCCTGCTAAATTTTACTCTTAAGCGCCAGAAGAAGTGTAACTTCAAAAAACAAATATTTAACCGAATTAAGGCACTATCGGTTTCGATTAAATCCAACAACAGTTTTATATTTTATATGCTTACTTTATTTACCTACTTATCTCCCCGCTTCGAACTACACACACATTTATATTTGATTTTAAATGAGGCAGCTCAAGTGGTCCTACTTCAAAACGTAATGCAATTTTCCTTCTTGCAGACTTAGCCATATTAAATTAAATTCTTTTTATTTATCTTTAAATTTTTTACTCTGGCAGTTACATTTATCATATAAGAGTATATTATGTATCAAGTTTGATAAACGCCATTTTAGACACGAATTTAATTTAGTGCTGATAATTTGGACCCCTCCCTCCCCCTTGGTAAGATTTGGTGAAATGTGGTAGACCCCCCCATCCCTCACGTGAAATTCTAGCCATTAAACTCTCTTTGCGGACAACATGATAAACCCAAAAAATAAAAATTGATTACTTTTTTTTGACAAATTTGAATTATAATACATATTCTTTAAACCCAAAAGTTGACGTGAGATTTTTAATGACCCCCCCTCCCTTAACATGAGATTTGGTGAGATTTTGCTAGACCCCTCCCCCCTATTTTTATCTCAGGTAATTAATAGATGTCTAGGAAAGTTTAAAACGAATTGCATACTATACTTTTTCTACGACAAATACTTATTATTATCTAAAAATGATTTAATTAATATTTGTATAGAGCGACATCTATAAAACAATGAAGTAACCACCCAAGTAACATTTTTAGTTTTATTATGGTCTTCAAGAACGCTTTAAAACAAAATTTTGTTTTAAAGCGTTGTTGAAGACCATAATAAAACTGAAAATGTTACTTGGGCAACTTGTGTAATAATGTCAAATCATAAATTTTTATGTGTAAATTAAAATGTATCCCTTGAAAATGGACTGTATAATCCGATATAAAAGCAGTTTTTCTCAGTGAAAGTAAAGAACATGTTTTATTGACATTCCACTGTGGAGTCTCCACCCGAAATTAAGTTAAATCTAGGTTACTGCCAGCGAAATTAAAAGGTCAGTACAATGTTCTTATAAACTTTTCAAATATTGGCGTTAAGAAACTATTTAATACTTTAGTGTTGTTTTACAAAAAGAGCACTTTATTTTAACGATTGTATGACATTTGACAACGGTCAACTAACTTAAAACTAACTTCAGCCCGTGACTAAAAATCTGTTGCTAAGTTCATACCGTGACTAAACCTCCATAAGGACACAACTTGTCAATGTGTATTTAAAAGGTCACTTTTTGTATTACTTAAATTTAAAAAATGTCACTAACTACTTTTTTTATCAGTGATTTTGTTAACAAAAAACAATTAAGTCAACAACAACCTGAAAAATTGACACCATTAAATTTTAAAACATGACAGATTACGTGGTAACCATGCATACATTGGTAAATATCTTTGAAATTAATAACTTTCCCAAGCAGCTTTTTAAGTAAAAGCGTAGAGCTTTGAGGCAATATTACTTAATTTAAGTAAATATTTTGTTAAATTAACCTTAAAAATTTACTTTGAAGTAAAACTTTTTAATAAAGTTATTTAATAAGTTGTATTTATGTTAATTTTACCTATTTTAATAACCCTTAAGTTTCAACACTTTAAAGTATTATGAGGGACGTAATTTTTACGAAAGAAAATTACTTATAAGTGTATTTCACCTAAAGGAAAATTTAACGGTAATTTTAACGTCAGAATTTTTACTTAATGGTAAATGTTACTCATAAGTCATAATTTTACGATATTAAGATCACTGTATAACCGTAAATAATTCCTATTCGCCTGGTATTTTTTAGGGTTATTAGTGGTAATAAATACTATTAATATTGAATAAACAAGGAACAATAAGCTTAAAGTGAAAAATAAAGCTTTAAGGGAAATTTTTTTTCAGGTCGCCATAATGAAGTTTTGGCTTCCATTACTTATCTAAACATTTATATAATATTTTTCTAAAATATAATAAGAAAAGTTTTAGTTTTAATGCAAAAATTATTAGTTTTGACAATTTAAGTTATATTTTTAAATTTTACTCTAGGGTGGCCTTCATTGCTTTGTAAGTACCATTTTGTAAAATATAAATTAAAAGAACAAAGAAATTACGAATGTCAATGTTTTAGAAAGAGAGAGTAAACAGTTAGTAATTAATAATTACTAATTATAGCTGTATTTTTACGTAAATTTGTGGTATTTATATTGTTTTTATTACGTTTTTCTTAGAGTAGATCAAAAAGGTTATTATGTAGGTAAATTAACGAAATAAACCTTTCCCCAAATTTGGTAATTTTTCGTATAAATACCCTTATAAAACCGTTTTGGTTAACCGTAAAATAAAATACTTTAAGATGACTTTAAAAAATAGACTTAAATGGATTCCTTAGAAACTTCTAATGGACCACGAATGTGACACACCCTGTATACTGTATCATTAAGTCAAATTAAAAAAATAAGACAATGATTTATTGTGTTTTGGCTGTTTTAACTGTCTATCCCGAATTCGTATAAACGAAATTTATTGACTATTGGGACATTTAAATTAAATGCTGTTTCATTTTCGAGTGACGCGATAAAGTTCATTAAAAAAGCCTTTATATTGGTCAAATTTGGTTATAAATATGTGAAAAAAATGTTGATTTTTTTCCAGACAATCCCTTGGTAATGGAACTCTGTACTTTCCGCCTTTTCGCGCTGAGGATTACCGGAAAGACGTCCATTCCACAGTTTATAGATGCAGAGCATCTAACGCTGCAGGAACCATACTGAGCAGAGAAGTTGTAGTTCAAGCCGGTAAGTATTCGGTATAATATAATTTTAAGTACGAGTAGCCTTCTTTGCGTGGAGTATAATGCGATTTACATGAACTTTTAGTAAAATCAACTGAAAATGCAAAATTAACTGTTCCAGTACAAATTGAGTTATGTATACAAGTATTCGCATATACATGCGTAACTTTATTAAAATATAACCACCTATGTGGATGGTGTAGCACGCCAAAGACCAACACTCATTTTAAACCTTTTCCCGAACAGTATATTAAAGTGCATATGCCATAAAAGTATTTTAGTGGTTTTTTATTACAACCTACTTGCATCTAAAAAGATTTAAGCCTTATCAAAAGTTATGATCAAAAAAGAATCGATACACAAGGTGAATATTTCAAGATGGTTGATACGTCAACTGGCATTATAAATTAAGTAAAGTACTTTAAGTTTATCCTTTGTTTGGCTTAGGGAAACTTTTCCATTAGCTTTCAAGATCTGGATTTCACACATCAAAAAATGAATCATTAACAATTCCAGAAGCTATTTAAATGCGGTGGGAATTGGGTAATTGATTCAGCGCACCCTTTCGGAATAACAAATCTGCGCTTACAAGTTATTCACACTCTCCCCTCAAGGTCTTTGTGTTACTAAGCAAACATAATATAAATTTCAAGAGGCAAGAAACACTATCAAGTTGTCGCACGATGATTTTTCTCTTGAAAGTGCCCTCCTTAAAAATCCAACTTGATGTTTTTCAAACAGTGCCACTCATCCAGTGTTGATTAATCAGATACTTGCACGTCCATTTATAACACAATTTAGTTTGTTTTGATGGCGAATTTTTCAGAAATTCGTTGGAAGCATCGCAGCGAAAGAGAGATCGTGAAGTTCTCGATAGGAATCGAATCGAAATTGTCGCGATTCTGTTAAAACTCAATTTAGCTAATTTTCAGGCATTTCGCAATTCTATCTCGATGCCTGAATGATTGCCAGCTGCATAGTGCACACATTTCATTATAAAATTTATCTAGTTTGCATGATGCGCGTCTTTTATAGGTCACAATTACGTAATTTAAATTTTTATAACAAAATCAATTCCAATGAATTTAATACTATTTTTTATGCACTCATCGTCATTGTCAATTAGATAATTAACTGTGAAAGCGACTTTTTCATCGTACCGTATAAATGGAAGTGATCAATACTTCGGCATACCTGATGCTTTCCGAAAATTCAATATATTATTCATAGAGTCCCAGAAAAGTGTTCATTATTTTCTATTACTGAGTTTGGCTTTATCTTATTTATGTTATTGTTATTTTTGCACACTTCTTCAACATAATGGATTTCTTGTCTTATCTGTTGTTTTATTCATACGCTTCTTGTTATCTCCCGCGTACTTTTCGAAAATAAATAAAAGCGCCAGTTGTTGCTGATATATGTATTTACATGAATACGATAATTGTTTGTTAATTAAAATTCTTCCAACACCGCCGAGTTGTAAATTTATTTTCCTCACCAAATGAAAAATATGTCATAAATATAAGCGTATTTCATGTAAAGATGACATTTAATTATGGTAATATTCTACTTTTCTACTTCTAATTAAATCCAACGCAATATCTTCAATAAGACGGCATCTGTAGTATAATTTAATTAAAAACTTAAAAAAGTAATAACTTCACAAATAGCACATTTGGTTAAATAACTAGCATTTTAAGTAAATTAACCAAAAGTAAAATAACATTTTTTTAAACTTGTTTTTAAACAATTAGTTGTATTAAACCATTAACATTTTTTTATATGTATGTGTATATATATATATATATATGTATGTATATATATATATGTATTAGTGGTCTTTCGGGATCTGCTCCGTGATGTCGGTTTTTGGTCCTTAAAAGAACCGTATGTCTGACGAAGTTTCGGTACAATCTCATGTACCATCTTCAGGTCTTATCTGCTGGGCTGCTGTTGCTGCTCTGCTGCGATTTAACGTGGAGTATATATATACCGCCGACGGAGGACTAGTGGTCAGTGCTGCTGACTAGAAACCGAGAGGTCGTGGGTTCGAGTCCCACATTGGTATGGTTGTTTATTATATTTTAATAATTTGTTTTATTCCAAAAATAAGGTAATTTAAACAAACCAATCATAAAACATAATATTATTTTTTCTACTCCCACCTTTAAAACGCCCTTTATCGTACATGTTTCCATGACTCTAAGTGACCTTTTAAATACACATTGAAAAGTTGTGGATTTACGGCGCTTTAGTCACAGGCTGAAGTTAGCAACAGGTTTTTAGTCACGGGCTGAAGTTAGTTTTAAGTTAGTTGACAGTTGTCAAATGTCATACATTCGTTAAAATAAAGTGCTATTCTTGTAAAATAATACTAAATGTGAAAATTATTTTATTATCTCAATACAAAAATACAAAAGTATTAAATAGTTTCTCAACGCCAATATTTGAAAAGTTTATATGAACATTGTACTGACCTTTTAATTTTGCCGGCAGTAAACTATAACTTAAATTCGGGCACGGACTCCACACAGAAAGAAAAATTTGATTAATAGTTAATAAATATAAGTTTAAGGCATATATGCTAACATACAGTATAGCAATATACTAAATATATTACTAAAATTATTTTAAAAATTGTATTCTAAATAATAGAATGTGGTTTTCTTAATAGTAACCTGGGATAAGTTAAAGGCTATTGATTTAATGTTAGTGGATGTAGGTTTGTTGTTAATATACTCAGTTTGTTCCAAATATTTATAAAAATATCAGAAATTATAATATAAATTGGTAACTGTTATTTTACGTTAAATAAACTTAAACCTTGGTATGCTGATATTAAGTTTAAGTTGCAATAATTATCAGCATTTGAATGTTGTTACAAAATATAATATTCTTTTTAATATCAATCAAAAATTAACTTTTAGGAGATAAATTATAACTATCATTATAACCGAGTTGTGCGAAAAGTAAAAAGGTAACTATTAGCGAATGAGTTATTAACAGCTGATAGGCATGATGTACGCCATGTAAGTCAGTGCACTGAGACTCATGCGGTGAGGTTGATATAATGACAGACCAGAATAAGAGAACTTTGGGGTTTGTACTTACTTATTATAAATATCTAGTTTTGCTTTTCCAAAAACTGTGCTATATAGGAGATATGCCATAATTAATACGCCGAAATCGTGTTTTTCCACCATGATAGAAGTAATAAGCGTTTGAACCATGAGGTTTTTTGTTGTTGTTTTCTAAACAATTAGGTAATAGTTTATATTAGTATTAATAATTATTATTATATAAATTGTTTTAATGCTGGTGGATGTTCATAAGTATTATTTGTTAAATTAAATTTCGTATTTATACTTTTTAACCATGCCGTTTGCATAATCATATGCTAACATAATACTTACTTTCATAGATTAACTATTAGCTGATGGAAAAATAACTGATAACTCAGAAAATGTGATTATTATAATAAAATACTAATAGAAAACCAAATAACATAACAGTTAGTAAATACAATATTTAAAATAATAAAGTAATTTTAATAGTTATTAAAGTGATTTAACTATTAATATTTCTAAACCTTTCTATTAATAAATAAAAGGTAAAGTTAAGTACTTCTTTATACCTTGTAGTATTATGACTGTTAGTTCATATAGGTTTGGCAGAATACGAATCCACTAAAGGGTAACTATTACCTTGTAACAGTTAATGTTATTATTTCTTTTTCTCTGTGCACTGTAAAGTCCTCATAAAACATTTTCTTTACTTTCACTGTGAAAAACTGACAATTTTTAAGAAATACATTTCGATTTATAACCTTTATAAAATATTTTTTTTTATTTTTATTGTCTTTATTTCTTATTTTTTTTTCAAAGCTCATTTAAAATATGAAAGTATTATGTACTACTTAAAATGTCCCATTGGTTTTTCCCTTACAACTATCTCTTGAAGATATCAATTGATAATATTATATGAGTATTAATATCAGGGCGACATTTTATTTTAAAGATCTGTAAGTCATATCTAAAGATATACATAACCATATTTGGTAAAATATAATTATGTAGAGTTAAAATAAACTTAAATATATTTTCAACACCACTAATTTTTAACATTTTCGCTTGAATATCAATATTGTGGGTGTTGCCTTGGGAAATCACAACCACCAAAAGTTTTATTATTCATTGTCAGTAAAAATATGACTGAGCGACCCCCTCGACAGCCAACTTCTTCTTATTTAGGCGTTGCGAAAAATTACATATTTATTTATTTAGGTATTTCATAGAACACTTGCGAGGATCCCAAGGTAGAAAAAAGCGTTTTAATATTTTATTTATTATTATGTTTCATATGAGATTTCTAGTCTAGAATGCAAATCGGATGTGAATTTTTATTGTCCATTTATTTGGTCAGTTGTGTTATTAAATTTTTGCTGCCAGATGTTAGGTATTAAAGACAATGTTAGAGGGAAATAAAAGGTTTTATTCCTATAGATGCAATATGCTTCAAGAGTCTTAAGTGTTTTTATGGGGTGTAATATTTTAACCGCTAATTATATTTATTGTAACTTCGGTTTCTTTGTGTACAAGAGCAATCCCAAGTAGCACAACTGGTTAAATTAACGTTAAATTTTCGTTATGCCTGGTTAATTCATTTAAGTAATATTCTGCTACAACGTTAAATTAACCTTAAATTAACGTTATTTTGTAATAGGTGTGGAATTAAATTATTAAAAAATTAAGTATAATTTAAATATTTTACTTTCTATAATATACTATAAATTTTTAATATTTGGATTACATGAATTGTGAAATAGTCAATAAAATTGATTGATTTTATACGTGGAATACCCAGCAACATTTAAATTATTTAAATTTGAAACGACCGCAATTTAAACTAATATTTATAGCTAGATGATTGGCTCAGAAGCATGCCTGAACTATTTTAGACTCACGATTGGCGTTAGCCTTGTTGTCTCGTTCTATTACATTGCGA